GCTGAACAATCCCAATTCTCCCATCCTTCCCTCCCAGCAGAGCTGCTCCATCCCTCTCATCCCCTTGGGGCCTCCTCTGGACTCGCTCCAGCAGCTCCACGTCCATCCTGTGCTGGGACCCCAAAGCTGGAGGCAGCTCTGCCGGTGGGGTCTCACCTTGAGGGGGCAGAGGGGAAGTGGGAACATTCAGAGTGATGGAATTTGCCTTCCCAACTCTGTGTGCTGGATCCCTGCTTTCCTAGGGGGTGGCTGAACACCTGCCCGCCACGGGAAGCGGGGAAGGAATTCCTCGTTTTGCATTCCTCGCTTTTGTAACCCTCTTTATCTCCACCGGAGATAAAAGCGAGTTTTCTCACTTCTCCTCTCCGAACCTTCCCCCATCCCGCTGTGGGGGAGTGAAGGAGCAGCTGTGTGGGGCTGAGCTGCCAGCTGGGATTCAGCCACTTCGGGGCGTTTCTCCTCTGGAGCAGAGCAGGAGATCAGATCATCCCTTGGCTCTTTTCACCCCCAGACATGTGATGCCCCCGCTCCAGCCGCCTCTGGTGCCGCGGGTCCAAGGCCAAATCTCTCAGGTGTGTAAACACAGCCCCGTGTGGCTCCTTTGAACAGGGCTCGTGATCCAGGGCCACCGTTTTCCCTTCCCGGAGCAGTGTTTGCTCGGCTGACAGCGGCCCAAACGTGCCCTGCTCAGGGCAGGGCTGGATTTTGGCAAAAGCCATCCCTCGTGCTCGGGGATGAATGGCTTCCCAGGCAGAAGACGACGTTCTTTTGGGGCTAGAACTGGAAGGATTAATGTAAAATTTCAAAGCTTGGAAGAAGCTAAAAATAGGCTCCCGCCTGTGCTGAGTCATGCCCGATTCCCGTGGGATGGGGGGGTTGGAAGGGCTGCTTTACCTTCCCTGCAGCCCCCGGCGCTGGCCAGGGGAGGGGACCCAAGGGGGTGTTGCCAAATCCCAGGGGATTTGGACCATCCCTGGGGGTTTTTGTACCGATTTCAGTGTCCTTTGCTTCCCAAGACACTGTGAATCTGATCAACTCTGAATGTGGAAAACAAAAACCCTGGATGAAAGGAAGGCAGCACCTCCTGTGGCTCCAGAGCTCTCCCGGAGCTCCAGCCTTGGAAAACCCCCTCATCGAGGCACAGGGGGAGGAAAGCTCCGTGTCCCGCGGCTCCCAGGGCTGGAGGGATTCTCCCCGTGCACCCCAGCGAGGGTTAAACTAGTGACTGCCCAGCCAAAGGGGGCCCAAATATATATATATATATATATATATATATAAAAGAAGTCCCATATTTATTTATTTATTTATTTAT